CCTGGACTACCTGTACCAGATGGGGGCTACAGCACGACGTATCAGGCCGCATCGGAGAGGGGCCCTAGACCACTTTTCTTAGAAGTCTATGCTGGCAACGGGGGGCTCAGTCGTGTTATGAACATGTTCGGCTTTGAAACGGTGAAGATCGATCTTCCAGAATGGGATCTCTCTCGTGCGGATTGCCGAAGAGACCTCATCCGATTCGTCAACCAGTCCAAGCCCGACGTGATCTGGTGTTCCCCCCCACAGAAGGGAGATGTCCACAATCAGCTCGGAGACGACGACCTCCAGGTACACTACGATCTCGCCAAACTCCTGTATGGCATCCAGATGAAACGCGGACTCCTCGGGGTGATCGAGTTACCCAAAGGATCGTCTGGCTGGGACAAGGACAAGCTCGGTGACCTGGGCGGCCACGCGATACATCTGGACCTATGTGCCTATGGTGCATACAAGACCACCGACGCAGGCGAGACTCTCCATTGGAAACAAGGAACGCGGTTGCAATCATCTTTGGAGAGCTTACAGCCGAGACTTGGACGCCGATGCCCAGGAGGACATGAACACGTATCCGGACGATGTCTACTACATGGACAAGATGGAAAAGGACACCTCCGCCTCTACCAGGAGAAGTTCTGTTATGAGGTCGGCGAAGCTATCTCTGTGATTATCGGGGAGATGATGTCGAATTCCACCCCGGACACCAGGGGACAGAATGTGAAGCACGACGAGAGCCAGACTTGTGAGGTTCTTGCCCGGACTGCCATCCACGAGAAGGACTACAACTTCGAGACACTACTTGAGATTTCTTCGTCATTGAAGCTTGGTCACATCGCTGGCCACCGCATGGCGACGTCGGCCGAGGCAGGATCCTCCCTCGGCACCATCGGTGGGCTATGGGTACATGGTGGTGTTCATGGCCTTACGAAGACGTGCTCCACAATCCCGTGGGTGATTAAGTATATCAACAAGTTTGCGCGCCACCATGGGGTACAAGGGTGGACATCCTTCTCCCTCACAAAGAACCTCCTCACCAACGTACACCGCGACCCGAACAACCTGGCCGGCTATGACAGCGTCACCACTTCGTTCGGGAACTTCAGTGGCGGTGAACTATGGACTCACGATGATCATCAGGAAGACAACAAGGAGACTGTTTGGAGGAATGGCCTGCCAGGCACCACCGTGACTACAAGAGAGCGATTGGTGGCTTTTGATTCCAGAGAACCACATGCCACCCAACCCTGGACAGGCGAGCGGTGGTGTTTGACCTGGTATACCTCCCGCGCCGTACTCAAGACGACACTTGAAGAACGAGACGAGCTCAGGGCTTTGGGATTCCCAATGAACTCCCTAGCCAACACGAAGAGGAGCACAGGCACCTCCCCCGGAGTTGGTGAGTTCATCCGTTGGCCCGAGAAGAGGAGACCGAGGAAGAGTACCAGGACACAGCTGTGGAAAATGGCCAAGAGATTGAGTTCTTTTGCTACCTGGTCCATTCTGGCTACAACTACATTCCTGGGCAATGCTGTGATGACCACCGCCTTTGACGAGCCAGCCCCGACGATCAACTTGATGCACCACAACAACCCCGTCCTATTCGAGATTGGTGGCTGGGACCAGACAATGGAAGCGACAGCCAAGGGAATCGAGGCAGTCGAACCAATGGTGGATCTGGACCTACACGACCCACCTACCTTGACCAGGATCAAGGACATCCTCGAGGAGTTGAAGCCACGAACCCTCTGGATCCACGGCGACCACTTCGGAGACCCAGTTGGACTCGACGAGGTGATCGAACTACAGCGGAACATTGGTGGCAACGTTACCGTTGAAGGAAAACTGAATGGACCTATGTGGAGCTCGAATTTCGGCACCTTCCTCTACCAGATGCCCGGAGTCACGACCTACAGATCTAACGATCTTCTACGTGCTCAGTTTGGAGGACGTGACCACGCCCTATGCGAACGGGAGGACGACATGGTGTTCGACTCTACAACTGCTGAAGTACTCCTCCGGAACTACCTCGAGGAGAAGAACGACCAGGGGACTACGCGACAGGTCTTCCCGGTGGAGGCCGAGCCGCGCGGAGGAGCAAGGCAAGGAAACGAGCCCAGCAGCTCACGTGGAGCCTCTGCGATCAGTTTCAGGGATCCACAACCCCGTCCCGAGGTGGCCTCATCTCTGAGACGGTTACACCAGAACTTGGGACACCCGGCAATCTCCGACCTTACGAGACACCTCCGGTTGGCAGGGGCCGGACCAGAAGTTGTGGCCGCAGCCAAGAACATGACGTGTGAGGTATGTCGACGAGCTCAACAAGGGAAATCCCCTAAACCCGCTACGTTACCTACCACCACTTCTTTCAACGAGATCATCGGAGTGGACGCCTTCACTGTCTACGACTGCCAGGGAAAGAAGCTCGAGATGTTCTCCGTCTACGACTACGGCACGTCCTACCACATCGTCGGCGAACTACCTGGGCACAGCACCGAAGCGATGGAGCAGGCCCTTTGTGATCTCTGGACAAAGGTCTTCGGCCCACCGAGGACCATACTTGTGGATCTTGAGACGGGACTACAAGCCGGACTCGAGCGTTACTCAGCGTGGTTTGGGACAAGGGTACGAAGCGCAGCTGGACAAGCCCCGTGGCAGGTTGGAGCCGTCGAACGCCACGGCGGTGTGTGGAAACATATGTGGAAGAAGGTCGTGGATGAACATTCCATCCTGAAGGAGTCCCCCGGCGACATCAAGATGGGTATCACGGCCATCAATGCGGCGAAGAATGAATTACGACGTCAAGGAGGTTTCAGCCCGACCCAAGCAGTGTATGGCCGAGACCCAGATGTACCCGGAGAACTACTTGACCACCGGGATCCTCAACAGACTGACGAGATCCTGACCCGAGACCAGTTACGTGCACGAGAACAAGTTCTTCGACAAGCTGCGAGGATCGCCTATCACCGAGCTCAAGTCGATTCTCGACTACGAAGGGCTCTACTCCAGAGGAGCAGAGTTTCTGGAGAGGACCTCAACCCAGGCGACGTCGTCTACTTCCTGCGCAAGCCCAAGAACAAGAAGGATTGGAGATGGGTTGGACCGGCGACGGTCGTTGGACACGAGAAGAAGAACCTGTGGGTGGCATCCGCAGGAAGATGTCATCTGGTGGCACCGGAACACGTCCGCAAGGCCACCAGCGAAGAGGTGGGTGACCTTTTTACCCTCTGTGCGACGCAAGATGATCTACAACGTCTTCTCGACCAAGAACCAGGAGACCCACAAGCCTACGACTACCCCGAGAACACGCTGGAGGATACGGGCGAGAACGTCGATGAGGATTTGGTTCTACCCCCAGGTGACGATATGAACAAGGACCTCCTCTCCGAGGTGATCTTTGACGATGAGGAAATGCCAATGGAAGGAGAACGACGACGAGGACCTCCCGGTGATCCCCCTGTCGTCCTCAACAAGAGATATCGTACCAAGGGACCAGAGACAGCCTTTGTCGCGAAGTCCGTCCGATTCAATCTTGAACCGGAAGAACTTGAGCCGAAGTCTACGAGCTCAAGGGAGTCGGCAACCATTCAGAAGGGGATCCTGATGAACTTCCGGGACAATGCGGAGATCACGGTCGAGAACCTCGACGATCACTACAACTACGCCTACATGGTCAGGAAGGCGACCACCGAGAGAGGTCGCCAAAAGCAACTTGAGAAAGAAATTCCGTGGAGCTACATCCCGGAAGAACAGAAACAAGCCTTCAAGGAGGCAGAGTTGCAGCAATGGATGGAGCACGTGAACCACGAGGCCGTACAACCCGTGAGCGTCGAAGAGAGCCGACAGATTCTTCGGGACAAACCCGAGAGGGTCCTACCGTCACGATACGCGTACCGTAACAAGAACTGGAGCAAAAGAAAGAAGGACGCCAACATTGGTTGGCGCCCAAAGGCAAGGCTCGTGATCGGTGGCCACCTGGACCCAGACTTACATCTGGGACTCCAAACCTCGGCCCCCACGGTATCACGACAAGGAGTGCTCCTGCTTCTACAAATTCTTGCGTCGAGACTCGACCGACAATGGGGAGCATCGGCTGGAGATATCACGGCCGCTTTTCTCAACGGCAAGGCCTTGCGGCGCGAGCTCTACATCAAGCAGCCGAGGACGGGCTTGGGTGATCTCCACCCAGAGCAACTGGTCCGTCTGACAAAGGGAGTGTTCGGCCTGGTAGACAGTCCAGCAGCGTGGTGGGGAGAGTTCAAGGGGGTCCTTGGCAGAGAGGAGTTCATCGTCAACGGCACGAGGTTGAAGTTCTTTCACTGCCCTCTCGACCCCTGCATCTTCCAGTTGAGAGAGTTGAACGATGACAACGAGACTTGTGGAGAACCTCTGGCCTACCTGGCAGTGCATGTGGACGACGTGTTACTCATCGGCCCGAAGGACCTGCGACGAGCCCTACAGGAGCGGATCTCCGCCCTCTTCCCGGTGCAAGAGTGGGAGGAAGGAGCTTTCGACTACATCGGGTCCTACATTGAGGTGACGAACGATGAGGTGCACGTGACGCAGACCAGCTACACCAACACGAGGCTCTTTGAGATTCCCATCAAGCACGGGCAACAAGGAGATGAACCCGCCACCGTGGAGCAGAAGGCCGATAACAGGAGTTTGATCGGAGCTCTCAGCTGGCTTGCTGGACAGACACGACCCGATCTCCAGACTGGAGTGTCAATGGCACAACAACTCCAACGCGACCCGACAGTCGACGACATCAGGTTCAGCAATCAACTCTCTAAAAGAGCTCAAGAGCATGATCATCGGGGAATCGTGATCTGCCCAGTTGACCTACGACACGCCGTGCTCCTCGCCTACCACGACGCGGGCTGGGCGAATGCACCTCAAGATTGCGAAGATCCCTACTACGCCCTCTACCCCGAGGACGAGAAGGCTGGAGAGATTCGAGAAGGTCCTTTCTCTACCAAGGACCGCCGCGCAAAGAGAAGCAACTCGAAGATCGCATCACAGCTGGGTGGCCTCTACCTCCTAGCCGACTGCGAGATCCTGCGAGGCCATCGAAGACGTGTCAGCCTCCTGGACTGGCGCAGTGCAGCCTGCGACAGGGTTTGCAGGTCAACCTTTGCAGCGGAGTCCATGGGATGCTGTGGAGCCATCGAGAACGCCGACTTCATTCGGAAGTTCCTGTCGATGCTTCTGACGGGAGACCTCTGTAGGAAGGAAGATGGTAGGTTCCAAGTCCGTTACCTTAGTGACTGTAGATCACTGTACGACCACTTGGCTCGGGAGGGAATCCCTAGGATCCCCTCAGAGCGGCGTTTAGCCATAGATATGGCAGCAATTAGACAAGACCTCGCCATCACGGGACGAATGTGTTGGGTACCAACAGACCAACAGTTCGCAGACATGATGACAAAGCCCCAGAAAGCCGGGGATTGGTGGGAGACATTGGTCGGGGAGATCAAGCTTCCCTTTGTAGAGAGTTTTTGACCAGTGTCGATCCCTTGAGTCTTTTCCGTTGCAATGGCAGGTGAACGATCGCCGCAGGCACACGAGTTCGAGCGATGCAGAAAAGAAGGCCAGCCGCGTCTTCTTCTTGTAGTTCTAGATTGGTAGCGGAGCAGGTGCTCCAGGGGTCTAGCCTGCTTTGATGGCGTCTGCCGATGCTTCTAACTTCGTGTGGGGTGATGCTGATGTTCCTCACGTTGATCCTGCGCAAGACGAGGGTAATGGTGATGTTCCCAGACAGCCAGAAGTAGATGCGGTACCTCTACCTCCTTTTGGTCACGAACGTAGTGCTACAAGTGAGCGACGACGACAACCCTCAGAACGAGGGCCTTCGTGGGTCGATGCCGACCCTTGGGATCATGTTGATCCCTGGCAGAGTGGTTCCGGGCAGCATGCCTGGTGGGGACACTCATGGGGAACGAACGACGGGTGGTCCGGGCGATCATGGGGAAATGAAGCCCAGACCTACGGAACCCGCCACGACTCGAACACGTGGGGCCGCCGCTGGAGTCAAGGCGAGACTTGGACTACAGGCTCTACGGGTGCGGACTCGAATGGCGACTCAGGACCCCGAGAACGCGATCATGGAGCCCATGACGGTGGCGACCCAGCTCGACCCGGAGGGCACGATTCTCCAGATGGAGCAGCCGGACCTTGGACGACGATGACGGTGAAGGAACCCCGACGACCCACAACTACCGGGAACACGAACGTGATGGAGCGAGGACGTGGGCCGTCAGAGAAAATGGTGGTGCCTACCTTTTCTGGGAGTGTGGAAGCTGGAGGTGATGATCTTGGGGCGTCTGCCCGCAGTTATCTGCGGCAGGTTGCCGCGTGGCGAAAGATGACCCGTCTTTCAGCTGATCAGCATGGGCTCGTGCTGTACCAGAACTTGTCAGGCAAGGCTTGGATCGACGCGGAAAGGCTTGACGTCGATCTCTTGGGAATGGATACCGGCGCCGAGTACTTCATCAATTGGATCAAGGAACGGTACCTGGACGTCCAGATCACGCAAATCGGCCGCGGACTGAGCGACTTCTTTCGCCGACTACGTCGCAAAGATGGACAGACGATTCGGGAGTACCTGAGCGATTTCGATCGAGCCTTGGCTCGGCTCACCGAATGTGGCTGTGTCCTTCCGGACATGGCCTCAGCATGGGTCTTCGTCGACAGGATGTCCCCGGAGGAGTCTGCGGAACTAAATCTCTTGGCGAGTGTGGGAAACGAATACAATCTGAAGCGACTCCAACAAGCAGCGATCGTGCAGGATCGCTCCCTCCGCAAACCGTGGGAGTCCTCTACGAGATCGGCTTCCCGAGACTCTGCTGCACCTGGACGTGGCCCTCGGCGCGAATGGTGGAACAAGAAGACCAACACGGCCCACCTCACGGGACATGGCGACAACGAGGACGACGACTACCCCGAGGCGGACCCCGTGGCCGAGAATGCCGTCGAAGACATCGTCCCCGAGGCCGTGGCAGAGGAGTGGTACGAGACGTTCATGACGCACGAGACGGCGAAGCAGAAGTACCGGGATAGCTTGCGACAGAGAGGAACGAACACCGAGGCCCTCCGCGAGATCGCCAACGACAGGTTGGCCCAGGCAAAGGCTAAAAGTTTTTGTGCTGGGTGTAAGAGACGGGGACATTGGCACAAGGACAGCTGTTGTCCACTCAACCAGGGTGCCCGCAAGCAAGGAGAGCAAAGCGGAGGCAACGCCACGACTTCCCCGAGCCAGAATACTACGACTCCGGCGAGGACGAGCTATCAATGCAGCGTAGTCTACGTGACATGGGATCTCGACAAGCCCGTCGCCAGTACACAACTTCTGGCGATCGCCGATACGGCCTGCAGTAAGTCGGCGATGGGAGCTGGGTGGCTCGACTCCTACCTCAAGGAGACGGCAAAGATCGACTACAAGCCCCAGTTCCTCAACGTCAACGAGAACTTCAAGTTCGGTGCCTCCCGTGTCGACGAGGCGAGCTATGCTGTGATTGTTACATTTGCCTTGAAAGGTGTTGTGGTGCAAGCAAAGGTTGCAGTGGTACATGGTGATGTTCCCCTGCTGCTCTCCCGCGGAGCTCTCGCTAAGCTGGGCACGGTGCTTGATATTGCAGCCAACACTGCGGACTTCAAGTTCATCAATGTGAAGGGCTTCCCTCTCAAGATAACGGATACAGGCCACCCCGCAGTGCCGTTTGTTCCGATCAGGCCACCCGAGCCTCTCGAGCCTCGCAAGGACTGGGCCGGTGAAGACCTGATGATTTTGAGTTCCGAGCGCGCCTACACAGGGGTTGCAGTGCTTCCACATGCTGTTCCTGCTGTACATTCTGTTCACGTGTCGTCTACATGTAGCAAAGGGAACCCACACCAACTTGAGAACTCACAGGGCCCCGAGGACCACCTTGACGACAACCTCAACTCCAAGAACCCACAGTGTGAGCGCATCTTTTACCCTAAGAAGATTGGCAAGGCAATCCTCAACATGCTCACCGCTGACATGTTATGTACTGAAGCTTTCATGACTTGGTGGCTCCAGACTAATGTATCCAACGACTTCTGGATCGAAACCCCGAATCTTCTGGTGAGGGTACACGTGATCCCGAGACGCCACTTCTTCACCCCTGCAGGGTGGAAGGACGGTGGACACCTGAAGAACAAGCTCCTTGAGAACCTAGGCAGAGTGCGTAGTACCACTGGCATTTCCTGCAAGTCACATCGTGCTCTTGTTCCCGTCCATGGTGTTTGGAGCTCTCATGATGAAGATCAGTATCCGGTGCTTTGGGTCGGAAGAAGCTTGTTTGCTAGGCGCCCTCGACCTATGCAAAGCCTTTCAGCCTCGCCTGGACATGTCGGCCCGGGCCTCGACTGGTCAGACTCCCCTACCTCGCCCAGCAACGGGGAGCAAGTCGATTTGGAAATGGAACAAGCAGGAGTTGGTGAACGAGGCGCTACGAGTGGGAATCACAATCCATCCGAAGTGGACGGTCCCCGAGATCAGGAGCGTGATCATGGAGCACCGAGCTCAGACCTCCAACGCGGTGGAGGACGCCACACCCAAGAGATTGGGGTCGATGACGCTGGAAGAGTTGAAGACCACCGCCGCCGAGCACAACATCAACCTCCCGACGCGTGTGACAAGAGGACAGGCGATGAGACTCATCCGGGATGCCACGGAGGACTTGAGCCACAAGGTGATGACCTTCGGCCGCTATCGGGGATGGACCTTCGCGGACACGCCGGAGGGCTACCAGGAGTGGGCGATCGCCGAGGTGGAGCGCTCAAGCAATGCCAGCGAGGACCTGAGGATGTACGCCAACTGGGCAAGGAACAAGAACACCACGGTGATGAGCTCCGTGACGTACGACGCCAGTCTGGACCCGGAGTTCAACGCCTCGACCCCGTACGAGCCCACCGAGAGCGACATGATGAGCTGGAGGATGGTTTCCCACGGACCCCCGGAGGACAAGTGGAGAGCGGTGACCCACGGCTACGCGAACGAGAGGACGTTGACACCGGGAACGGCATCAACACCGAAGGCGAAGGCAAAGGTGCCCCCGCGAGCTCAGGTGCCTACTACCCGGACGCCACCGAGACCAAGGACCCGCGAGGAGACCGACAGCATCAGTTCCATGGAACACGAGGTGGGGGACGAGGCCTTGGAGGAGATTCGGAAGCTCGAGGCCCGCTTGGCAGTGCTCAAGGACCGACATGGAATCAGTCCGGGGAGCAGGTAAAGAACGACCTCGTGTTTGACGACGTGGAGGCTGGACCATCCCGCGAAGGACGAGGTGGCACAGTCCGACAGCTTCCACTACGCGATCCTGGACTACCTGTACCAGATG